GGCAGCTCTGGGAAGAGTGGCTTTCCAGTGGCGAAGTGGTGAGGCGCCAAACACGCCCCTCGCAGCCTGGCCTGGTCTGGGGTCTGCAGGGCCGGAGGTTGCTCTGCCAGCCGGGCTGCGCAGAGGGCCCTGTGTGCTGCCAAACCTGCCTGCTGCTGTGAAACCCCTTCCGTCCATCCCTTCTGTAATGGCCTTTTTCTTGCGCAGCTTTTGGAGGGGTTGAGCACTTTATGCTGCTCCAGTCTGTCTTTCCGATGGTTTTTTGTTCTCGGTTGTGCCCAAAAGATGGTCTTCTAGCTACTACCTCTCAAAGCACCAAGTGCTCACTTTGCCTGGGAAAGCCTGCTATTTAAACAGTGATTAGACACCAGAGGCCAAAATGGCTTTAATGATCTAGTGATGTCTATTATAAAGAGTGACCATGGCAAATAAGGATTATTTGGAAGAGAGTGATAATTAACTCTGGTATCTTGGGGACAGGAAAGAGCAGGGAAAATAAATGTGTGGTGATTCTCCATGCTTTTTAAGTCAGACCCCTTAATCGGGCATGATTAATACGGTGCACATAATAGGAATCTTTGTATATGGGACATACTCCAGCTTGTTTAGATGAACAGGAAATAAATCTCTCCTTTTTGCCCGAGTTGGATCTTACCCAACATTTCTAGGTCACAGATGGACTCAAGACTATTTCTAGTGGTCTAAGGAAAAACAGCAAAGAATAATCTTGCACTACCAGATTACAAACATAACTTCATTCCATGGTACAGCGCTATCCTTAAATTCTCATGTGACTAATCCTTCAGAGAGGGATCCTATTGCTAAAATGGCTTCATGGCTTCTAAAGAATGTCATACTTTTATCTGCAATCTCCTCTGTTCTCTAGTTCCAGCATAAAATACATGGTTGTACTATACAACTTTACTAAATGAATGTAAAAATAATTTTTTTTTCTATAGCGTCTTCTTGACTGCACATGCCCTAATAGTTCGTCGGTATGAGTCCCTGTCAGTACAAAAGATGTCTTGGCTATTAGTGAGAAAAGCGAGCTTCTGCTTTCTGCAGTGCAGAGCGTGCCACTGTGAACGGGCTCCCTATGCAGTGCTATAGCTTCACTGGCTATAACCCCTCGTAGGGGCTTTTCTCTGGGTTTTTCTTTCCGTTTTGGTTGTTGATATTGATTCTTCTGGTTTTCCAAGAAGATACTTGAAATAGATAATATTTTATATGTGCTGAGTTTGAGGCAGCATTGCTTTAAGGGTAGCATCAAAATAAATTCGGGTCGTTTCAAGACAATACAGCTCATTTGTATGATGTGTCCTTAGACACTTTATTTAAGAATTCTTCCAGTGATTATGCATAACCAGCTTACTATTGGGAGAGTGCAAATCTCTTTGGAGTGTTTCTTAACTGTAGAGTTTGACCTTTGATTTTCTTCTTGCATGTTTTTGCCCTTCGTACTCCAAGGATAAAATTTCTCGTGGGAGGAGAAAATTTCTCCTAAGTACAGAGGATGCAATGGCTAAGCTGTTAGCATGGTATTGGACTAGCATCCAAATCCTGTTCCCTGAATAACCTCTGTATAATCTCTTTATGTGGCACCATTGTCATGAAGATAAATGCATTAAAGATTGTAAAACCACATTAATAAGAATTGGATAAGTATCAGAGACAAAAATAAGAAAAATAGAATCATATTTCTGACTTCACCTATGTTTAAATGCAGAGTGCATCTGGTTTCCAGTCATCCCACCACTAGTGATACTTTTCATGTAATTGGTGTTTTTCCTTTTTCAGAATACTTTACAATCACATTATGAAACCTAAGCACATTTGAAAAGCTGTGCCTTCTGCTTTTGCTTTAGGTTGCATTGCTTTTAATGTACGTAAAATGTCCCTGACTGATCTTAATATGAGGTAACAGATGTGTTAACGTAAAATTCTAGTTGGGTTGTTCCCTTGTATATATTGTTTTGCCTTTATCGCTCTCCATAACTCATATTAAAAACTTTTAATTAGATGCCACTGGAATGACACTTTGGGCACAAAACCACAAAGTCTATCGGTGTTGATAGATATACTTTACAATTATGAAGAAGCAGATACAAGAATTGGTATTTTACAGGGAGAAAAAGAGATTGCCGTCGCACACCACCTCCTCAGTGAAGTCCCACTGCTCATTTTATTCATGCACCCACCCTCCCTCCCTCCCTCTCTCTCACCTACTCCGTTTACTGACTTAGGTTTTCTTTGCACTTGGAGGGGGTTTTTAATTTCCCCAAGGGTGAAATACTCCCACTTAGTGCAACACTTCTAGCAGAGCTAGCAGCATGGCGGAGCTCCCTGATCTGTCACGAATATCAGGAATTAGATATACCTTGAAAGAGAGATTTGTAAATATGATCCTCTAACCTTGACGCATTACCATAAGAAGTCAGGATTGCGGCAAGCACACATTGGTGGTTAGTGCAAGCACTTTGCTTTGTCGACTGCCGTGCCTTTACTGTGTAATATTGTATTTCAGATGTAGCGTAGGAAAGTTTTGAGTTGGTTGCCGTGGGTAATCAGCTCAATTATACAATGGAACATGCTGATGAGGAAGCCAAGACCTGGCATTACTGATGTCTGTGTTGTAGGGGCAACTTGAGCTATATTGCCAGGATTTATAACTACAGGGCCCTATTGAAGTTCTCAGGAGGGTAATTCATGTAATGTGTCTTTTTGCTTCACAGCACAGCAATGGCTTGATTCACTGCCTCATATTTTATGCCGCTGCAATTCTAGCGGAGTAGCAAATGGGTTCTGTGACTTCGTCTTGTGCCTGCATCAATGGTTTTTGTTTGTTTCTTTGCTTTTGCCGAGGGCAATTAATATTACTCCTGCTCATTTGGGCAACCTACTGCTTGTCTCCTACTCTCATACACCATCCTGGTGAGCTTATTGCTTGCTTTATTTCTCACCGCACCGCTGCTCTGTGTCTCCCCGGTGCCCTCCTGATTGCCAGTCGGGGTTCCGGGATATTTGCGGGACAGCAGCAGAGGAAATGGTGGGGTAGCCAAAGGGACTGCTTGACAGCCGGGCTCTGTGGCTTCCCCGCCACAACTCTCAGCACACAACGTGAAACAGAGCTGTCAGCCAGGCTGGGAAGGGAATACCCATTGAAGCAAATCAGCCAGCTATCGCCCTGGGACAATTGATAGGAGAAGAACACGAGACAGATATCCTGCTCTGAAAGGTTACTCAAACAAAAATCCCTTGTTCGTATTTCCCCATGACACAACTTGAAAAAGAGAGACACAGCAGAGTGTCTCCCTCACAGTTGAGAGAGTCTTTTCAGGAAAGGTCTGTGAGCTCTGTGTTTGGGAAACACTGAGCCATCTTTTTTTTTTTTTTCCTGCACAAAGCCCTAACTATCCTTTGAATAATGTTGCGTGGCATCTGCATCACTTCTTGCTGTGATATTTGGCCAGGGGATTGGGATTAAAATTAATTTAGTTATAGTGCCACTGCACTTTATGAGCAAAGGAGTTGTGGTAATAAGCCTTGGTCCTGCCGCCTCTATAACGCTACCCAGACTGGTTCAGTGGGTATGCAGTGGATGGAATTTCTTCAGTATAGAATGGTTTTATACATACTCAGAGTGATGGAATTTGCTTGCTTGGACAAATCTGTTAAAAAAAGATGAAACGCTGCTGTTTCCTGAAAAGAACATTAACAAAAATCCACCAGTGACACGGGCAGGCTTCTGTATCTGTCTGCATGGAAAGACCCCCTCTCCGACCTCACTAGGAGATAATGAGAAAAAGATTTCATTCTCACCCAAAGAAGGGAATATTTTGCATTTCAGCAAATCAAAACAAAGTCTGCTCTGTTTTTCTTTGACCGGTGATGGAAATCTTTTCAAGCAGGCGGTCTATTACATTTAACAGTAACAGAAGTCTGTCCTGGCAGACAGAAGGGTGGGTAGCGATCGCTGTAGTGGTCAGGTTTAAGTGCAAGGGTCAAATTGTGAGAATAAAAGTTGTTAATAGAAGTATCTTTTTAAATTTGATTGTCCTTTGCTGTTCTACCTAAGATGCCTCTTAACCACAGAGCTAGTTCACTTGCTTTGCTCTAGAATTCTACATTTCCGTTAATATATATGAACTAATCTTACAGACATCCCACCTCCTTTCACAATAAAGCACAAAAGCTGTTCACATTCTCAAGAAGGGCATTTTATGCAGTGTTTCTTCAGGAATCGCTCATTTAACTTTGAAGGTCGACCATCAAGGCCCTGTTTAGGGACCCTCCTTTAGATAAAGGGAATAAATGCAGCTCCTTCTGTCCTCTCTGTTTTGCTTCAAATGCCAGCCAGAAAGAAACACACTGGTGTCCTCCCACCCAAAAGGTTTTGAAAGTGAATCCAGCCTTTGTTAGCTTGAGAAATCATGGAAGGCAGTTGGAGTTTAGATATTCTGGCACTGGCTATCAGTAAGCCGCTAGCCTGACCCAGTGAATAAATCTGAAAAGTCTGTTCAGTTTAAAAAAAAAAAAAAGGAGGAGGAAAATAAATACCGCTACAATTTTCACTTGTTACGAGAAGCAGGCGGTGACCTTCTCAAGGGAAAATGAACACGGGAAAGGGAAACAGCGGAATCGCTATTAAAACAGCATGAGGAACCCATCTCACCCTGGAGAAAGGAAAGGAGAGAATGTAAAATTGAAATGAAGTAAATTTATCTCTCGTCCAATGCTGAGTACTAACTGCAGACGAGGATGGAAGAGAATAGCTTTTCCAGGTCCGTGCAGCACAGCAGCTCCCCAGCCATCCGGCTGGTGTAGAGCACGTGAGTCAGGGGGACTTCACGTTCTCAGCAGCACTGGAAGGAATTTGTGGAAGACAGCAGCGATCGTAGCTGAGCTGCCACGCGCTCTTTGCAAAGCCGAGGCAAGTAAGAGCTCTGCGAACCTTGATACGTGCACTGGTGCAGATAACATTGGTGCATTGGGCAGGAGACATGGCAGAAGCCGGTGGCTTCAAGATGGGTGCAGGGCTGTGGCGGACTGGGTCCCCCAGTGCTCGCCTGCCTGTGAACTGGTGGTGTTCGGAGGGCGAGAAGAATGTAAGGTATGCGGGGAAGACTGGAGAGGGAAGAGAATGTCAGGACGGAGCACGCAGTGGCCTATTCCTTCCAGAGATACTGTCAAAGGCTTATTCATTTCCCAAACAAACAAACCAGTCTAACAGTCGTGCTCGCAGAATACACTCCTTTGTTTTCCCCTCCGGCACTGAATATTTTTAATACATGGGTTAAAAAATACAGGCTTGCTTCCAGACGTGTGGCGTGCATGCCATTCAACCTACTGATGCCAAAAGAGGGGTTTTTTGTTTTTCTTAAGAAAAACTGAGAAATAGCACAACTATGGAGACTGCAAAAGGCTTCTGTTCTCTCAGGTTCACAATTGTGCAGATGAAATATGATAAATGTAATATAGGGAGGTTGCTCAAGAGGAAATGTATCTTTAGACATCACAGCTTGTTTAAGGTGAAAGGAATCCAGAATTGGAACCGGAATTGCCTCAGACGAGAAACTTAGGCACAAAGCTTAGGCATGTTAAGCTTTTCATGCAGTTGTAAGAAGTCACAGTGCTGGCATCCAAAAGATCAGATCTTTACCTGAACTTTCTACTTGAACGTTCCCCAGTTTGGGCGAAACTCTGGAGCTGAGATTTTGTCCACGTGGATCATGTTACATTACTCCACCAGGTATTAAAATTGTTAAAATAGGAGTGAATTGAGTAGGGTTATTCTTTTCTTTTTGTTTTTAGGTTGGGTTTGGGGTTTTTTTGGTGGAGGCCAACCAGCCCGCCACAGCACTATTATCCCAGTTTGGAAACACCCCAGGCTCTTTGAATACATGTGTCCGCCATACTGGGTTTGTGGGAATGAAGTCCTGACTCAAAGAGCACGTAACCCACCCACAAAGGAGTTCCTTCATGACAGCAGGAGTGTGAGTGTGGACAATTAAAGGTTCACTTTCCTGTGACATCCTGTTTGACGTCTAGAAAGATAAGGTTCTGTAGACTAGCATCAGTAAGTTTTTGCTCAGCAGGTGTGATCTCTCTCACCTCCACACATGCACACACAGAGTAATATGCAGCAATTCCCATCCCCAGAAGCTTCGTCTTGAACGCGGTAGCGCACGGCTCTGCTCTTTGCAGTTTCTGGTTCCCTCCTCCTACCTACTCTTCCTGCCTGCCTCTCCTTCCCCTCCTCCTGCCTCCCCAGCCCTGCAGTCGACAGGGTGGAGAGCCCCACTTCCAAACACATGTGCCAGCACTTTCCGCTGAATTTGTGAGGAAGGAGGTTATACAGAAACATGAAGCTACAAAATGGCGTATAAAGAGGGGGGTGCATTGAAGTCCTTACACATCTATTAGATAGATTTAAAATACTGCATCAAAATCCTTGAAATACCATGAATCCTCTGTGCAGAGCATTCTGCATCTTAGCCCCATCTAGGGGAGCCAGTATCAAAGAAACCCTTGTCTAAATACTCTCCCCTTCCCCCTGATTTGCAGAATGCATGCTACTTTAACTTGGCAAAACTCAAAACTGACCCTAAAATACAATCTCTCCTGACTGTAAATCGTCCATCAGTTTTGCACATCATCCAAGGAATCATCCTGTGACCGGACTAGCCAACTGTGTCCATTTTGCTTGCAAAGCCGGTAGTTTTTGCTCTCTCTGGTTTTAGGAACCTTTTGTTGCGTATCTACCACACTTCTTTAGCAAAGGTAATCTGCTGTTGTTATATTTTATATCCTCATGTTTTCCCTCTCCCCATCTCTCACCAGCAACTCTTTCATAGCACCAAAAGCATTTCTCCCTGGTAGGGCCAGCAGCTCAGTTGTTGTCCACTAGCCAGCAACCAGTTCTTTCCAGTGGGAGGAGGGGAAGCAAAAATGAAAATCGAATAAAAAGCAAATCAGGGATTTTAAAAAAAATCAGTCCAAAGGGGAAACTCCTGTTTTGCCTTTACCACCAAGCTTCCCATGAAGTCTCAGCCTGGAGGCGTTCTGAGGCTTGAGAAATTTCAGGGAAATTTGCTGCTTTTGGAGGTGTTTGGAGGGAGTATATCATAGAATCATAGAATAGTTTGGGTTGGAAGGGACCTCTAAAGGTCATCTAGCCCATCCCCCCTGCCGTGGGCAGGGACATCTTCAACTAGATCAGGTTGCTCAGAGCCCACTCCAACCTGACCTTGAATGTTTCCAGGGATGGGGCATCCACCACCTCTCTGGGCAACCTGTGCCAGTCTTTCACCACCCTCAGCGTAAAAAATTTCTGCCTTATATCTAGTCTAAATCCACCCCCCTTTAGTTTAAAGCCATTCCCCCCTGTCCTGTTGAAACAGGCCCTGCTAAAAAGTTTGCCCCCATCTTTTTTATAAGCCCCCTTTAAGTATTGATAGGCTGCAAGAAGGTCTCCCCGAAGCCTTCTCTTCTCTAGGCTGAACCACCCCAACTCTCTCAGCCTTTCCTCATAGGAGAGGTGTTCCATCCCCCTGATCATTTTTGTGACCCTCCTCTGGACCCGCTCCAACAGGTCTGTGTCTTTCTTCTGCTGAGGGCTCCAGAGCTGGACGCAGTACTGCAGGTGGGGTCTCACCAGAGCAGAGTAGAGGGGCAGAATCACCTCCCTCGACCTGCTGGCCACGCTTCTTTTGATGCAGCCCAGGATACGATTGGCTTTCTGGGCTGCGAGCGCACATGTTGCTGGCTCATGTCCCGCTCTTCATCCACCACTACCCCCCAGGTCCTTCTCAGCAGGGCTGCTCTCAATCCCTTCATCCCCCAGCCTGTATTGATACCAGGGGTTGCCCCAAACCAGGTGCAGGACTTTGCACTATATACAATAGGAAAGTGATCATCTTCTCTGTCTTTCACCTGAGCCAGAGTTGTGGAGGTCAGTTGACAGCCATAACAACAGAGAACGGCACATGAAATGTCTCACACTGTCTGACTTATTTTCTCTTCTTTGGGTGTTGGTGTTTAAGCTCTCATCTCATACTCAGCGTACATTTGCATCTCCACAAAACTGCCAAAAATGGTTATCTTTGCTGCCATCTAAATCTGTTTATGGTCTACTCTCCCAAAATCATTCTTTAAAAGAAAATGACTGATTTCCAAACCCCTCCTTCTCTTCTGTTATTTTTAACAAGCAATTCAGTCTGATGTCGTTTAAAGAAAAGATCATTGCATTACTGCGTGTTGCAGGACTCTAAGGAAACAATACTAGAAGAGAAGGAATGTGGGAAATCTGTTCCCTCTCTTTTCCATTGCTGTCATTTGCAAACTCTGAATGCTTCCAGCAATGGGGTAGCCAAAGATGGGGTGAAAAGGACAGATTATGTTCCCATTGGCAAAGCTTCCCTCGACTTCACTGGGACCAGGATTTGGCCCATGCCGCGTAGCATCCCAAGCCTTGGCTTTGACTTAATTGTCTCTTCATAGTAGACTGTCTGTGCTGAGGGAGGCAGCGCTTGTAGATAACTCGGCTCTCACGAGTATGCATCACAGTTATCCTTCGGCTTGCTTCAGTCTGAATACTTATACTTGCACAGCTGATAGAAGCACTGGTCTTGGGATCACATGAAAGGAAGGCTGCACACAACTGTTTGCTGGTCCCTCCTTCAACACCTATGTTCTCTTCTCTGTCTGCCCTTTCCCTCACATCCGAATTGACTCATGGTGTTTGCTCCTGAAGTCTGATGAGGGCTTGAGTCATAAGGGTTGACACAAGGATTTGACTCCTCACCTCCTCAGAGTTCAGCCCTGTCTGGGAGCTGTAAGGATCTGTTTCCACACGTACTCATGGCTTTTGAGGAGGGGCTTAGCTCATTCGTTGTGCCATAAAGTCCTGGAGAATGTACATCTGGAAGCCACTGCTAAAAATCCCTGGGAGTGTCAGGGTACTGGAGAGGCTCTCCTTTAAAGTCTTGAGATAGAGTGTGTTGGCTCTGGCTCCCTAGACAGTAAGTAGGCACTGTAAACGGACCTTAGTCATGCTTTCAAAAGTAAGGCACTGTAGTGCGTTGTAGTGAGCGCAGCTGCCGTGGGATGGGTCCACAGGAGCTATTCCGGAAGTTGTTGCTTCCAGTGAAAGATCATGGTATGGATGAGTCTTTGCCCAAAAAGAAGACCATGAAGGCCATACGTATGCAATCCCCTGTCCCCAGAACATAAGCAGTGGTCTGACATGACCATCTGGTGGTGTAAACACTGGCTCAGAAACATGAAAGTCAAAGATGTGCTGGGAGAGCAGGTTTCAGGTATATATGTGTAGATAGGGTCAAAAGGTTGGGACTAAAGCTGGTGGAATAGGCTCCTTAGACTGGTCTTATAATTTCATTTTCCTTATTTCTCAGAGATGGAGCTTCTGGTGCAGAGATCAAAAGTGGGAAAGCATAAGAAATGCAGGGTCCCAAATGCTGACTCCTGACCTAAGCACATGGGTGAAAAAGTCTGTCGGACCAAGTTGCATTTGTAGGAGCTGTAACCACTGTGGGGAGGAATGGAGGGAGACATTCCTTTGAATTTGTGGGAAAAGGGAAAAAGGGCAGGAAAAGGAAGATTAATAGAGAAATAGACTATTATTAATCAAAATAATGAGAGAGAAATAGTCAGGGGCATTAGGGATACAAAGCACCCCACACCTTATGTGGATCAGTACAGATTATAGCCTTTTCTGTCTTTTGAGAAATCTGTTCCCCTCCTTACTTTGATACTTAAAACATTCTGCACTTGATAAATAACAAAAAGTATGGTTCTTAAAGACTGAACCACATTCTGGTAGCAGCCAAGATAACTTTATGAAGACAGACAAACTTGTGTTAAATTAAAAAATATATATATCACGCTAGAAAGTTATGTAATATTCTATTTTAAAATCATCTGGTCCTAATTTACTAAATTTACTGCCTCAGAGCTGATGCCAAACTGCTACATTTGATTTATAGAAATACTTTAGCACATTTTTCCATCAGGCTATTGTAGAGTATATTTACTGCCTTTTTATTATTGTTAAACATGCAGACTGCTTTAAAGGAAAGGAACATTTTTGAA